AATCCATCTGCATAACCCCATTGCAAAAATAGAATTATAAAAGGTCCTATCAAGTCAAAGGGAAACAATTCAACTTGCAATATTATTTGGTGAGTACCAACTAATATACCAGATTACATATTATTATACTGGCAAAAGCAGCTTTATAATACTACTTCAAAATAGAAAGTCGGGCAAACGAGGAACTTGATAGTGGTTGAAGGCACTGAAAAGTCAGATGCCTCCCCTGTGCATAATGAACTCAGAGTGCTAGGTTCATTCATTCATTTAGCAAATACCTGTCGAGCACTTATTATTTGCCAGTTCTATCTAGGCAGTTGTGATTAGAACAGCAAAAATCTTCCCCTCATAGAGCATGTACTCCACTGGAGAATTAGTCAACAAACAATATTTAAAAGTAAAAATATATGTTAGTGATTAATGCGAAGGAGAAAAACTACAGCAGAGAAGGGGTTGAGTGTGTGATTTGGGGTGTTGTGGTAAGGAAGTGGAGAGGTCAGGGAAAGCCTCATTGAAGAGGTGTCTGTTATGCAAGAACGGGAGGAAGTGTGGGAGTATTCATAGCGAATACTCTAGAAAAAAGGAATAGAAAAGGAAATGCTCTGGGCAAGAATGTGCCAGGTGAGTGCCTGAACCTGCTAGAGGCAGGAGCGGTGCATGGGAAAGTCAGAGTCCTAGTAGACAGGTCAGAGAGGTGAGTGAGAAGGGTGGAAGTCCAGCCGGTCCTGCCGGCCTTGGAACGGGACTGTAATTTTCACAGTCTGAGGTCAGGAGCCAGGAGAAGATTGTGAGCTGAGCGGTGATGCACTCTGACTGTTTCACAGGTTCCCTCTGAGAGCTGAGTTAGGAGCAGACTGTGGAAGGAACACAGGCAGAAGGCGGGAAGGACTTCACTTAAGTAACATTGCCTCGTGGGAGCTTTTATGTTTGTAAAAAACTGTTTGTCCCCTCCTTTGCCTCACAATGTTCTACCCATAAGACAAATTCCTTATGGAGTGAGTGTGAGTGTGCATGCGTGGGGTGTGTGTGTGTGTGTGTGTGTGTGTGTGTGTGTGTGTGTGTTGGAGCTTCCAGGGAGCCTCATTGTTAGCTAGCACGAAGCCCTGGCTTAACAGCTCTCATTCTCCTCCCTCCTCTCTCCTTTGTCTCTTTCATATTCTGTCTAAAGTTTGCCTGCTGGCCTCTGCTCCTCTTTAGAACTTCACCCTTTTGTGTTGATCGATATTGCCATGTGTTTCTGCCATTCATCTTCCAGTTTCCACTTGTGTAATGAAAGGGGGTAGAGATACATGGTGAGAGGTAGAAGCAGAGAGATGCACGGTCAGCCCAGTGTTTTCTTCCCATATCTAGGGCTCTCATTAAACAGACATTTAAAATACTATTCTTATTTCCAGTTCATAGCAGTACTAAAGTCTATTTTTTTTAAAAAAATCAGAATATTTAGAAAAACAATAATAAAGGCACAACTACAATATAAATATTAAACTACTTTTTTTGTGAGAAGGGTCTATTCACATTCTTGTTTTTTTCTGTTGTATTCAATTCTATTGAACTGAGAGAAATAATAAATTAAGGGTATTATTTGCCTTCCATGGATATTGTAAATAGTTCTGTTTTTTTGTTTACTATTTTATACAGATATTTCAGTGTTTAGGTCAATTGTATTGCTTTGCAATACCTGCCATTATTTATAATTTGATACCTGCCATTATTTATAATTTGGGGGGGCAGTGCTGAGAATGATTTCACCTTTAAATATACCAGAACTTAATCCATCAGTAGAAATAAGAAAGAAGTAGGTCAAGTAAAGCAAATATGAGTGCAGGAGCCCACGGTTAGAGCCCACGGATAGACTAAAGGCAGTTTGGATTTGAACACAGTGATAATAGCATTTCCATATGGGCATGCTCTGACCCACCCAGTAGTTAGTCTCTATCTTTCTCCCTTCCCTCTTCCTCCTGAAATAGCAGCCTGAACAAATGGCTTCTCTACCATTATTGCAGGCAGAAGCCAACCCAATGGTGTCCCTATGGGACATGATACAAAGCCAAGAAAAATGTTTATCAATCTCACTAAAGAGTGGAAGCTGGCACATTGGTTATAATCTATGTCATGTCAACTCTGAAGATCCTACCCTCGGTCAGCTCAGAGCTGGCACTGCCTATAACCTGCAGGTGTTTCTATGTGCACTGTCATGAGTGAATGCTCTGAGTTTTCAGTTTGTAGAACTAAATCATCACTGTGGCAGAATGCACTTTCTTACCCTCAATTTTTAACACTCTATGAAGTCACAGAAAAAGGCAGAGCCATCTCCCAGGCAATACAAAGAGTGTAAGAATCCTAATTTATTATAATTCTTACAGGTGTGCCATAAGTGTTGTCTTTATTGGGGCACAGAGATGACAGAGGATGTGGGAGGATATCAGAGCATATGATGGGTTAAGGGGAGTACCTCACTATCACATTCATGTTCAAAGAGAAGTCTACATTTAAATATAAATATTATATGAATACAAAACCAAGTCAAAGAAAATCAAGGAATTTCATTAAACACAATATCAAAAACTGATTGAAATACATTAGGCATAAACTGGGGGCACGTATCAAAGTCTATTTCAATACATCCTTCCATAATCAATCAGGTTCTTTTTCTTTAAGGATATTTTCAGATGTGGTGACCTCAGCAAAAGTATCTGATGGGAGGATGGACAGGCTTTAGCTATTGGTTTCAATGTCTAGTTCACATCCAGGTCTCCTTTCATTTTCAACATGCAAGCAAGCAACTTGGTGTCTAGTTGTTCCCTGGTCAGTATGAAGGGAAAGGGGGGGAGGCAAGGCCATATAAATAATTCCAAGTCTTAGGTCTCCTTTTCCAGGACAGGAGGTTGTCTACAACCTCAGACACTACTTCTTAAGGTCACTCAAATAGCGAGGGTTTGACCACCTTGGAGAGGCACTACTTCCTAGGTAGGATTCTCATGACATGTCACTTGAACAATTCTTCCGAAGGTCTCATCCTCTTCTTTCTCCCCTGCCAGGCCTCCTGTGGGACAGAGGTGGCCTTGCCAAGCCTGGACATTCTCTTATCCAGGCATAGTTTTAAGATCTGTCAAAGTTCCAGTACTACCTGAAAGCCCTTCATTCTGCCACCAGATCTCTGTTTTTGCTGCATGAAAGTCAAGTAGTCAACTACCATCTATTTTTGTTCTTCATCCTATTAATAAAGTGTTCCTTTTCAGACCCCTTAGGGCAGTGGTCGGCAAACTCATTAGTCAACAGAGCCAAATATCAACAGTACAACGATTGAAATTTCTTTTGAGAGCCAAATTTTTTAAACTTAAACTATATAGGTAGGTACATTGTTATTAACTTAATTAGGGTACTCCTAAGGCTTAGGAAGAGCCACACTCAAGGGGCCAAAGAGCCGCATGTGGCTCGCGAGCCGCAGTTTGCCGACCACGGCCTTAGGGGATGCTTTTTAGCACAACTTCCAGTGCTGTCTGGGCAGACATCTTCAAGACACATGAATAAAAGTAAAGAAGGGTGCAAGAACTGTGCCTGGGGTAGGCCAAGGACCAGTTGAAATTAAATTCACCTAATGGCTGGCTAGTTACATGCTTAGTAGGAAGGTCACTAGGATAGTTGGCTATTTGTCTATGATCAACCTGCGTACTCAGACTGCCCTTTCTTTCCATTTGTCTGTGCCTGCAGCATCTTCATCAACTCATGCTCAATGTCTCTCTCCAATAATTTTAAACTTAGAAAAAATTTTCCCAATCCAAGATATTTCTTTGATATTCAGATTTTTTTAAAAAATTTTAGAACTAGGGTAATGAGCATCCCTAGATCATAATTTTGATTATATACATAACCCAATGAAACTCTTAAATAATTTTCCTTTTTTGTTTTATAAATTACAATTGTCAAAGGGGAGGAAGAGAAGGAAAGAGAGAAATAAAATTGTTAATATGGCTAAAAAAGCAGCAGTATATATGAGTGTGTGGAGAGGTGTGATAAGAGAGGAGGTGTAGTGTGCTTTTGTGTTGATCTTGTTCAACTCTGAAGAGATATCTCAATTTAGAGAAAAATATTCTGAACTTGGAATCACAAGACCTAATTCTAGATTCTTTCTAGTGCTGTTTCTGTCACTAACTGTGAGAGCCTGGGCAAACCACATAGACTTTGTGCTAGTTTCTGCATCTGAATTCCAATCTGCATTTGCCGTCTGAATATCTATAGTATTGTGATATCTAATAGTATAGACATCAAAGCAGTAGCACTATGAACTGTGTGTGTATATATATATACATATATATATATATATATATATATATATATCCAACAATTATTGAGCTGTATCATTATTGTTCTCATTAATAAATATTTGTGCCCGATTCTGGTCTCCTCCCATGAGACTATAACTCTGTTACTATCTTTTCCTAGTATTTTGTTTGTTTGTTTGGGGGAATAAAGGGGTGCTTTGTGCTTCTTTGTTAACACTTCAGATAAATTATTGTTCTAACATTTGATCCATAATCTCAAGACTGTCTTAGGCTTCCAAGAAGAAAAATTGTGTGTAAAATTCCTACTAATATATTGTCCAACTCCACATGAATCTTCCTTTATCTCTACCTTTTATTTGTGATAGAGGCTATCTGGCCACAGTGTGCTGAATGTATTGTCTAAACCAAAGTAATAACTGTGGTGAAAATTTAGGTCATACACACACTTAAAAGCCAAAATAGTATCCATGAGAGAGATACACTTGGGGTTTGAGGATCTGTTGCCCTACTTTCAGACCACAAGGTGACCTCTCCTGTGCCCATCATGCACTGAGACCTATCCTGGAATTTTATAACATTTAAACAACAAATATTAAATATGCCACTTCAATAAATTATGAATTCTGGAAGTAAACTATATTGATGTCAGCTCGGATCCTATAACAAATGCAGGCTATGCAAATAAAACTTTGTATATACATATATATTAATACTTACTGTATTGACAATTTCTTCCCATGAATTCACCTGGGCACTCACAGGAATAGTTTGCAACAAGGTCTGTACATATTCCACCATTTTTGCAAGGCTCAGCTTCACATTCATTTATGTCTGAGGAAAAACAGAAAAAAACATAAGAAGTAAAGGATTGGTGAAAAAAATGATTAGTTATGTGTATTAATCATGAGTCAACAATACAAATGCTGCTTAAATTTATTAACAATCAAATTAAATCAAGTTCAAGTGGAACTGAGAATCTAAATGAAAGACCAACAGAACTAAACTACTCTTCAATAAAAAATATAAATATGAATAGTGTAAGGAAATAGTCAGTGTATTCTTAGAATTAAATCAAACAAATTAACTCTGATAGAGGGATGAATTGGTATCACTTACAAGATCTAGAAACTTCCCCTGCAGCAACAACTGCCAATTAACAGTCTCATTTCATCTTAATTCATTAAAATTCTAACTGACAGAGATGTTTTAGTTTCTAAATAGTTTGCCTTTGATGAATGCGATGAGAAGCAAATTAGAGTTAAAAGCTAAAGCTCATTAAATGCAAAGTATAATAAATGTAAATGATGATCACTTCCTAATCTCATTCAAGGGTTTCTAAAGTTAGGATAACTAAAGAGACTTACCCCTTGATATACCATTATTATACCTGATGTAAAATCATTGGAAATATAAAACACTTAAATTATACTAATTTCCATGCTAATTTTGGACAGCAGAAATAATGAGTATGATTTTAAATGAAAAAGTAATAATGACTAATTCCATCAAATATCAGTCACTAATATTTACCAATCATTCCTTCTAAGCACAGCACCACGCTGGGCTCCTTGGGAACCAGTGAAGTAGTCAAAGGACACACACTGCTTCCATTGCTTTCTCTTCCTGTCATCCACTCCAATGAACTCCCTCTCTGCCTTTCTTCCCACAGCTCTGTTTTTTTCCCCCAACCTTCTTACCGACCTAAATGGTGTTACTTAGAAATTGTCTATTCACTCGCCTTTCACCGTTTTACCTAGTCAGACTGCGAACTTTACAGATTCAGCTCCTGCTTTGCACTGTTCTTTGTACTTCTGCAAATGCCACACACTATCTGGTGACAACTATTGCCCAATAAATGTTTCCTGATAGTTCTAACAAAAGATTAGAAATAGTGGTGCAGACAATGTAAATGCGGTGTTTTTTTTTTTTTAAATTTCAGATGTGTTTTGTGCCTTCTGATACACTACAATGTATCAAAAGGTATTTGTGGAGTCCTGGGTTTTCATAGTACTTAAAGCAATATATACCATCATTAAATTACCCCCTCAAGACCAAACAAGGGCAAAATACTAGAAAAGTCTCTATTTGCACTTTGCTTTATCGTTTTCTTCTAAATAGTATTTCCTCCTGGAAGCAAAGTTGTCCACCTCTCATGACAAGTTTACTGTACAAATGTTGGTCTAAATTTCCTTAGGCAGGTGATGACTGACTCTGAAAAAGCATCCTTTTTGGTTTCTGGTTGACTGTTACAGCTTAAGAGGAAAATCAACTCATGATTGTGTTCAGAAAGATTCAAAATAATTTAAGTATTTTATATACTCAAATAATAAAATAAAGCCAGAATCTGATAGTCTCGAAAAATAGCTGTGTGCTATAGTAAAATACAATAGACTTCTAAATATTTAACACTAAAACTCTCCAGAAATAAAGAAAGAAAGGAAAGAAAGAAGGAGTCATTTGTTTTCTTATCTGATATAATAGTTAGCTCTTTTTAGTCATATCAACATTTCACTTAGTCTTTATATTAAACTAATGCAAATTATTTTCATTAAATTTTGAAAGTGCACAAGAGTCTTTGTGCTATCTATTTATTTTTTTTGCAAGCTCAGTGTAAAGTAAGATGATGTTTGGCAACTTTGGAACATGCCTGATATATCTTTGCTTGATCATATGTGCTAAAATTTGTTTTAGATGAGAATATGTTCATGGCTAAATTAAACTTTCATGTCTTAAAGAGTGCATTGACTTATTTTGTAAATTGCACATGTGATTCTTTTATATACTGATATAGGAGAAATTAAGTATTGATATCTGAAGATCACATAAAGGAAATATAACTTCATTTTGGACTTGAAAGTTTTACTTGGGATTAGTCAGGGCAGGATGAAGATGGTGGTGTATTTCTGAGCAGGAAACCAGGATGAGTCACCACTTTGAAGAGAAATGTCCATGGTGTGACGTCATGTTCAGGTACAGGAATAGCCCAGTCTGCCTGGAGCAGAGAATGGAAGAGGAGTGCTGGTGACCACATCTGAGGATGCAGACAGGGAGCAGATTATGAAGAACCTTGACTGCTAGCTGAAGGAGCTGCTTTTATCTTGTGGCACTGAAGACCTGGGAACAGATGGAGGGTACTCTCTGCACCCTTGTGCTTTAGAAAGACCTCGTTAAATCGTATGTGGCATGGGCTTAAGAAATGAGTAAAGGAAGGTAGGATGGAGACCTACACAAGATTTGATGTTAATAGAATATATATACATATTGTAATAGTAAAAGGCTAATATGCAAATGGCCATCACGCCCTGACACCCTAATGACCGAACAGCAGGAGGCTGTGTGCGAGGCAGGTGCTGGTGGGCAGGGACTTGCAGCATCAGTGGGTAGGGACTTGCACCTGCCTGGGACGTGAGGCTGCCTCCCAGCCCAGCACTTGGCCAGGGATGTGAGGCTGCCTCCCCGCCCAGCGCCAGGCGGGGGGACATGATTAGCAATATTAAAATATTTTCTCTAATTAATTCCCTTTTAATGTGCAGAATTTTGTGCCCAGGCCACTAGTGTATGTATGTATGTGTGTGTGTGTGTGTGTGTG